GTGCATCCAGGCAGATTTTGTGCACTTTGTTTAGAGACGAGGATGAGGGTGTGTGAGGGGCACTTCATCCAGCAGCTCAGCTCGAGAGTGAATACACCCCCCTCAGACTGGGGCTCCCTCAGGACAGGGCCAGGTCGCCTCTTCTCTGTAAAGGCCCAGCTTCTTTTTCCAAACTACACTACCATTTGGAGGATGCTGCCCTCAAGCACTTTCCTTCGCACCTGCCAGGAATTCTCATTTCAGCCTTTCCAGTTCCTTCTCCCTTTGCTGGGGCTTGGGGGACTTCCGACCTCACAGCTTAGTGCTTGGTCATTCTCTCTCTGCCACTGAATTGGGAATGATTCCTTGGGGGAGGCCGGAGGAAAGGGGCCCTCAGCTCTGCTTCCCTGGCCTTGATTTAAGGAACAAAAGAAGCCAAGCTCCAGGCTGCCGCAAGTGTGTTGGCTGAAGGGTTTTATGCTGTTTTGGGAAAAAAATACATTTTGCCTGTTGGAAAAATTTCCCTTTGAGCTTTCCAAAGATATAAAGCAGAGAAAAGGCACTTACGGTCTGGTCTGTCTATGCCCTTGTGGTTCAGGCCCTGCCTCAGGCTGAAGAGCTGGTTTCTTCCCCCGCAGCTCCTTGCTGGCTGTGTGCCTGTGGGCAAGTCACTCACCAGCTCTGAGCGGCGAGTCTCCGTGTGTCAGGGCGAGGATCATGTAGCGACTTCAAATGCTGTGTCTGTATGTCCTTGTCCTTGACTTTGCGGTGGGGACCTGGGGGTCTAACGACCTGATAGCCTGACATGTGACATCTGATATGTGGATCTCTGCCATTAGAGACACTGCGTGTGTGTGTGTCTGTGTCTGTGTGTCTCTGTGTTCTGGGGGTGGGTGGGGAAGCTTAAATATGGATTATGGCGCCCTGTCCAGACCCACAAAACCAGATTCTGGGAATGGGGCCGTAGATGCTGCCTTTAAAAAAAAAAAAGATTTATTTTATTTATTCATACATGAGCTGGGGTGTAGGCCAGAGGTTTTGGGGGTGAGAAAATTCACCAGAGACAGAGTGGGCATCAGAACAGGTGGATCTACTGAAATACACTGCTGAGGGGAGCAGCAGGTGAGACAGGAGAGGTCTGCTATGCCATGTGGGAAGCTCCCTGGCCGGGGATTGAACTCGTGCTGCAGATAGCTTCATGGTGCTGAGACTTAACCCCTGCACCACCAGGGAGGCCCAGATTCTGCCTTTTTAGAAATGGGGCAAGAGCGAGTCCCAGGAAGTGAAAGGTCATTGCTCATGACCTTGGCCTCATCTCCAGGCCAAGAGCAGGCTGTCAGGGCCCCTAGACCTCTGTCAGGACTGGCAGTTGGGGTGAGTGGGATGGGCGCAAATGTGAAAGAGATGAGGGGCCTGGGTACGGGACGAGGCAGAGGTCAAGGGGCCCTTCAGGCTGATGGGTCAAGCAAGGGAGGTGGAAGGAGGAACCTGCAAGGAGGTGGGGGGAGGGCATCTGTCCGCAGCAGCCAGTGAGGGCATTCAAACTACACTTCAGAACAGGGCAATAGGAGTGTATGTGTCGGGGGTGGGCTTTTTTAACTGCTTGAGAGTGTCACCCACCCCATCTCTCCTTGGTCCCCAAGTAAGCCTGTGTACTGAGAGGAATAGCGCTCTGCTCAGCTCCCACGAGCCTCCCTATGTCTAGGCACTCCACTGTGATCCTGAGGGAGGAATGGCTTTTACCCCCACTGTGAGCTGGGGAAACTGAGGCATAAAGGAGGCAAGTAATTGTCTAGAGCTGGAACGTGAGTCCAGCAAGTCTGACTGCAGCTCTTGCATTTAACCGTGAGGCTGTGCAGGGAAGAGGAAAGAAAGGATCTGAACATGACCGCCAGCTAGCAGGCGGGGGGACCAGAGTCTCGCTTGCCCATCTGGCCATTCTTTCTTCAACCACCCACTTTGCCAGGCCCCTCAGTCAGGTGCTGGGCTGTGGCAGAGGCGGGGCTCCTGACCTGAAGGATTGCATAGCTGCTGTGAGAGACAGAAGCCCGGTTTTGCAGCACAGGGTGTGCTGAGTACGGTCACGGTCACGGGCTGCTCCCTGCAGATCAGAGAGAGCCTGGGGAGCAGAGAGGAAGCGGTTGTCAGTCCGTGTCCAGGGAAGGGGGGATAAAAAAGGGGAAGGATAGGAATGGGGCTGGAAGGAGGTTATTTCAGCAGAATAGAAGGGAGAGGGTTTGCATTATACTTGGGTGCCACTACCCAGGTGACCCACGCCCTGGGGGTCAGTGCAAGTCCTGAGGTCACAGAGCAGGGAGCCACTGAAACCAGTGCCTGGATTTGATTTCTCAGACCAATCTGTAGTCTCTGGCCCAGCTGGGAGGGTGGGCAGGGCTAAGAAAATTCCTGTCTCTCTTTGAAGGGAAGATTCCAGCTCCCTCCCCTCTAGGCTGAAATCCAGGGTCTCACATTCTTTCTTACTAGCCTGGACGTGATTAAATGAGTTCCAGAGTCACACTTGGACAAACCCCAGACTTTGAAGAAGTCAGTGGCTCTGTCAGAATCTTGGTTTATAAAGGAACTGGAAACAGTGACCTCTGAGGTCCTTTCCAGTTGAGCATTCGAGGATTTTTCCATAATTACAGAATTTCACTACTGAATTCAAAGATAAACCCTGGTACTTGCTTCAGAGAGTTTCCCCCTTTAGCCCTTTTTACTATTCTCCAGCTTCTCACTGAGTTCTGGGTTCACTACTGTCGGGCCATCTCTGGTGTAAAGGCATTTTGTCCTTCGTTTAAATCAAGAAGATGCCCTGCCCCAGACCTAGCACCCTGCTAGGAGCACCCAGCAGGAGAATGTCATCCCAGGCAGAGGTCAGCCGCCTGGTTTGGATGGGCACAGAGAAAGTGGGCTCTTCCGTGGAGCCTCTGCTGTGTACTTTTCAGAGCCGCCTGGTGTATCGTTTCATCTGCTGCTCACCGAGGTGGGCTGGGAGGTTTATCAGATGGTTTCCAAAGTGACAGCTGGCTAGAAACAGGATGGTGGGAGCCAGCAGAGGGGCTGTGTGCCAATGGGGTCAGGAAGGGCTAACAGGGGGTGCTAGCTTTTGGGCAGAGGCCCTGAATGAAGAGGCTGAAGTGGAGGATGGGAATCTGGGGCTTATCCCTCTCTTGGGGACTTTGCTGGGAATTTGTGCTGGGACCTGAGCTGGTCATTCATGAGTGTGCAGTCTGGGTTTGCTACATCTGTCTGTCTGTCTGTCTCTAGCTTGTCTTTGGCGCCCACCCTCAGAATGTGGGGGGCATGTATAGGGGGGTTGATTGTGAATAGGCTGTTGCTGCTGATGGTTTTGGTGACAGTGACTCAGGATATTGCCTCCTTCTAGACCTTTCTGACTCTACCACTGTTTATTTGGGGGGCATGGCCACTCCTAGCCACTCCCTGGACCTCAGTGTTCCCCTGCTCACAGAGGTAGGACAGATGATCCCAAGGGTCCCCTCCAGCACTGACATTTGAAGTTGGCTGTCAGGAAGCCACACACACTAGTGTCAATTGTTTCTCCTCTCTGGGAAAGAGTAGGTGCAAGAGATATGGAGGCCAGTGGGGGAGTGTAAGAGTAGAGGGGGGAGGTGAGACAATCCCTAGCAACATCTGGGAGGAGGGAGGACAAGGCTGAGATGGCTGACAATGTCTGAGCCTGACTCTAGAATAGTTTGGGAGGAGTCAGTAGCTCACACAGGCAGCAGGGGGGAATGTCTCAGGAAGCTCTTTCAGGGATAGCACAGGAGCTGGCCCTTGGTGTCAATCAACAGGGGGCTTGGGTGAGATTGTGTCCCAGTGAGCCCCTCTGGGAGAATGTGTGGAGTGCCTCAGAGCTGTCCCAGGGGGAGCAAGGAAGCTGGGTACTTATCCCCCAACTCCTGCTTAGGGGCTCTAACTTCCTGGTATTTGTAGGCTAAGAGCTCCCTCGGGAGAGAAGCAGGCTCCATGGAAGCTTGGGTGTATGCAGGAACTAGAAGGGAAGTCAGGAAGGGCATCAACAGCCTTCAAGGCTGACACTGTTGTCTCCATTTCATAGAGGAGGAAGCAGGCTCTGGGAGACTGAGACACTTTCTAGCCAGAGACCAAGTTTCCACTGGGCTACGTTGCTTCCTAACAGCAGCAGGTCACACAGAATGAAGGACACCAGATGTGTGGGACATGCATTGTCTGATTACGCCTTGTCAGATCTCCAACCTCCATTTCCACATCTGTCAGATGGGATGATGCCCACCCCACATCAACCTTGCAGGGAGTGTGAAAATTGGGGGCTAATATATGCAGAACATGCAGCACAGTGCCAGACCATCCGTGGGGTTCGATGAGTAGGAGGTGTCATCACGGGGCGAGGGTGGGGGCAGGCAGGAGGAGCTCCGTGCCTCTTGCAAAATCTTTCAGTCCCCAAACCTTGCATGTGTCATCTTGCGTCCGGATGATCAGCACCGTGGTTAGCTCTGGCCTTGCCCAGGACAGCTTAAATGAGCCCGTCTGTCTTGGGACTTGTTAATCCACTGCACAGATGAGAGGGTGAGATAAACTGGCTAAGTAGAGCCTGGGACTCAGGGTGATTAACTTTTGATGGCTTGATTTGATTTGATTTTTTTTGAGAAACAGAAGTGGTAAGAGGAGAATTTGTAGAATAGGCTAAGACATTGGCATTGTGGGATTTGTCCTGAGAGCATGAGGCTGTGGGGTCCAGGGCACCAGGGTGCTCAGATGGCACCAGGGTGGAGGTAGTGGGGGTGGAGGGGAGGGAGCGGCCCTTAGGAAGCAGAAGCAGAGCTGAGAAGAAGTGTCCAGGGCCGGCCAGGCTTAATCAGTGCTTAAAATGTCTCAAAAGGGCAAAAGAGCCTCTTTGTGTTCCTGCTCTGCCTGAGGTCAGACCCCAGGCAGCCTTGGGGGTCTAAGTAATAACCCCTCTCCCCCCACATGACCTCCTCTACTCGGGTTGTGCTAACTCCTTCTCTCTCCCACTCTTTCAGGAACCTTTTGGACAAAGACATGTTTTCCAAGTCTGACCCACGTAAGTCCTGTTCTGATGATAACACCAGTAACAAAGCCATGATATTATGCTGGGCGTTAACCATCCACTCCTGGGTGCCTGGCACCGTGCCCCTGCTTCACTGACACTCTCTGGAGAGAGAGAACTGGGGGGTCTAAACCCTCTGACACAAACCCACAGGTTGGGAGGGGTTAAGGTGTCTGGGGCCATAAGGTCTCAGGCCCAAGGTAGCCAGGGCATTCAAGACACCCAAATTGGCCATGGTTTGGGGACGAACAGTGATTTTCGTGCCCAGGTTCCTAGGCCTGAGCAGTGCTCCTCAAGTAAGTGACCTCTGACAGGCCATTGGCTTCTCTGAGCGACAGTTTGCATCAGTGAAGTAGGACTGATGATAAGAACAGGCCTTGTGTTAGAACAGGCCTTGTGCTCTAAAGGGGCCCCAGGGACTCTCCTCTGCCACTCCGTTGCCACCCAGTCCATGCACCCCACCTGTCTGCCTTCCCCACACTTAGTACTTGCTCTGGCCTAGACTCAAATGGTCCCTGAGCCCCTATCCCAAAGGGTGCCCCTCTCAAATAGTCCTATGTTCCGGGTTGCCTTCCCCACCCATGCTGCCCAGATCCAACAGTGCTACCCAGGTTGGAACCACCTGAGCTATCTGCCCCCAAAGCCCTCACTTTCTTGACCTGGGGTTGACCCTTTTTTCTCCTCTCCCCACAGTGTGTGTCATGTATACTCAAGGGATGGAGAACAAGCAGTGGCGGGAGGTAGGTACAGCCCTTTCTCACCTGGGAAACACAATCCTTTTTCTATCTGTCTGTCTGTCTAACTCTGGAAACATCTTACCTGATATGTTTGGGTTTTTTAAAAATATTTATTTTATTTATTTATGCATACAAGAGTTGGGGTGTAGGCCAGAGGTGTAGGACGGGGGGGTGAGTGAGGGGATTCACCAGAGACAGAGTGGGGAGCAGAACAGGCAGATCTACTGAAATACACTGCTGAGGGGAGCAGCAGGTGAGACAGGAGAGATCTGCTGCGCCATGTGGGTAGCTCCCTGGCAGGGATCAAACTCTTGCTGCAGTGGCTGGCCATACCTTCATAGTGCTGAGGCTTTACCCATTGTGCCACCAAGGAGGCCCTTACCTGATGTGTTTTTAATGGCAGCATCTAAACTCCTGTGAGGTTAGTAAGGTGTGAGGGGGGTGGGGAATGTTTTTTGCTTGCTGTTGCAAGTATAGAGGGCAAAGTTCCTGCTCTCAGGAAGCCCCAGTCTGAGGGGAGACATGGCCCTGCCCTCAGGGAGCCCCAATCTGAGGGGGAGACACAGCCCTGCCTCAGGGAGCCCCAGTCTGAGGGGGGCGACACAGCCCTGCCTCAGGGAGCCCTAGTTTGGGGGGGGACAGAGGGAATCCAGGTTCATGGGTGGCCTGAGATAGCATCTTGCACCTAGTCTCATCCACAGCAAACATCCCCTGGCTTCTGAATAATGGAAACATGGCCTCAGTTAGATGGTTCTCCTACTCAGAAACCTCCTTAGCCTGGCTTCCAACTTCTACACAACCTGGAAGACCCACTTTTCTGCCTTGTCTCAGTTCCACTGCCCCAACTCCAGCCTCCAGGCAGCCTCCTTTTGCTCTGTGATAAGGTGTGTAAGGAGGTGGCTGACTTGCAGGGCTCACTCTCAAGCAGCTCATAGACTTCCAGTGGGTGGATGCCAGTCTCCCAGACATCTTAAGTCTATTCCCACCCAGCAGCCAGAGAGATCCTGTTAAAATCCAAGGAAAATACTTTCCTTCCTCAGCTCAGAGCCCTCCCTTCTTGCAAAGCCACAGTCTCTGTGATGGTCCAGAGGGGCCTCATGGTCTGACTTTCTGTACCTTTCTGACCTTATCTCCTAAGCTCATCCCCTCCATCACTCTATACTGGCTTCCTCCTGCCTCAGTGCCTTTTCACTTGCTATGCCTTCTCCCAGGAATGCTGTTTTCAGATGTCCATGTGGCCACTCCCTGGCTACTCAGTCTGACTTTTAGCCTCGCTAATACATATTCCCTTTCCTGCTTAACTTTTTCTCCTTTTTTAAAAGAAGATTTATTTATTTATGCATACAAGAATTGGAGTACACACCAGAAGTGGGGGAGGGGGGTGAGAGGATTCACCACAGTCAGAGTGGGGAACAGAACAGGCAGATTGACTGAAACACACTGCAGAGGGGAGCAGCAGGCGAGTCAGGAGAGATCTGCTGTGCTATGTGGGTATCTCCCTGGCCGGGGATCGAACTCGTGCTACAGTGGCTACAGATAGCTTCATAGGTTGCATCTTAACCCCTATGGCATCTTAACGCCACCAGGGAGGCCCTAACTTTTTCTCCTTATCACTTTTCACCATAAGCCATACTCCTTTACCTATTTATCTTGTCATGCTCCATAAGGGCAGGGATTTTCATCTGTTTTATCTGTTTTATTTTCATCTTTTTTATCCATACATTTTGAGTGCCTGGAATAGTGCCCAGCATACAGTAGGTGCTTAACAAGTGGCTGTTGAAGCAGTGAATGGCTTACAAGAAGGAGCAGAGCCACAGAGACTGGCAAAGATTTGGTGTCCCTTTTCTGCTTCCCACCTGTACTTCCTTCTTACCTCAGACCTTCCATGACAGCTGGTTTTCAGGTATAAAGGGGAGAAGGGGGCTTGGGGTAGGGGTAAGGGGTCCTGTAGCCCCTGGCTTTGTTTTTAACATAGAAGGAGTAGACCTCTACCCTCGGAGACCAGACCCGGGGTCTGGTCAAGCAAAGACAGAGGTCGAAGGTGCAGATCATTTTTTCTTCTGTGATGGGGATATGAATGGAGCTTCCAGGGCCTTGGAGCTGAAGCCAGCTTCCTGGGACCTTCATAGCCATCTGAAGTGGCAGGAAATTAAGCTCAGTCCTTTTGGCGATCAGAAAGGAACACGAGGGCCTCCCCGGTAGCGCAGTGGTTGAGTGCTGTGCTGTGAAGCTGCCCGCAGCCTCTGCAGTGCCGGTTCAATCCCCGGCCACCAGCGAGGGTCCCACATGGTGTGGCAGACCTCTCCTGCTGCGCCCGCTGCTCCCCTCAGCAGTATGTTTCAGTCAGTCTGCCTGTTCTGTTCCCCGCTCTGGCTCTGCTAAATTCTCTCACCCTCCCGCGCTTCTGACTGTACCCAGTGCTTGTATAAATAAATAAATAAATTTAAAAAGGGGGGAAAAAAAAAAAGAAAGGAACAAGAATGGGACAAGAGGAGATTTGACCTCGGCAGCCCCACCCCATGCCCTTCTCCACCCACAGCTGGGAAGGAGGTCCATGGGTTTTGGATACAGACCCCGCTCGGGGACTCCAATGAGAGAGGGAAGCACCGGTGGCTAACAGGGCAGAGGCAGCTCAGAGAGCTCAGGAGAACACAGGCCTAGTCCCTTAGGGCCTGTGGAAAAGGCATGGAAGGGTAATGGTGCATGAGATGACCAATGCTGAGAACAGGGACAGGGGTCCCCATGGGGAGAAAGGGGACCCCTCAGGTGACCCAGTGAAAATGAGAATGACCTGTAAAGCCTTAGTAACTCAAGACTTTTTATTTTTATTTTTTAAGATTTATTTATTTATACAAGAACTGGGGTACAGGTCAGAGGCGTGGGAGGGTGCGAGAATTCACCAGAGAGAGCGGGGAGCAGAACAGGCAGACAGAACAAAGACACTGCTGAGGGGAGCAGTGGGCGAGACAGGAGAGGTTTGCAGCACCATGTGGGTTTCTCCCTGGCAGGCCGGGAATCGAACCTGTGTTGCAGAAGCTGCAGAAGGCTTCACAGAGCAGCGCTCAACCCGCTGCGCCACTGGGGAGGCCCAACTCAAGACTTTTTAAACAAACCTCCCCTTCCTTGTTAGCAGACTGGCTGGAGCATGGTCTGCCCCGCTCCCCATGCCTCAGGCTTGTCAGGAGCAAGTGGCCGAAGTGGGGGGGGCGGGGATATTATCCACAAAATATATGAGAAATATTTCTGCAGGGGCTGGGCTAAAGTTGAATTTTTCACCCTCTCCAAGTCTCTAAGCCAATTAAGGCATAAACCAGATCACTGAGGAAATGCTTAGCCTACTTAAGTGAACTAATTACTTTTGAGACCTTTTGGCCGAGCTTCATAGAAAGAAGGAGTGTACTAATGTCTTAGTGATTCATTCAGGAAAATCTGGAAGGGCCTCTTTAGAAGGTCAGTGCTCCACGAGCTGTTAATTACATTCTGTAATTGAGACTTGCCTCTAGTTGGGTCAGGGTCTCCGATTATCCCTGTTGTATCTCATTACCTCTGGCACCCACAGGGTGGAGTGGAGAAAAGTGGAAGGCTTGGTGTCGAATCCACCCTTGCTTTGGTCCTGGCTCCAACCCTTTCTGGACGTGGGCCCTGGAGCAAGTCTGCAACCTCTCTATGCCTCAGTTTCCTCTTAGGTAATAATGAGATAACACCTACCTTGTAGGCTTATGGTGAGGAAGAAATATGACGGTGGATGTGACGTGCTTGGTGCATTGTCACTGCTCAGTGTCTATCCTTGTGCAGCATAATCTGGAGTGTTCCCAGCCTTCTGGCAAATCAACATTTGCACCAGTAAATATTTATGAGGTGCTGGAAGCAAGAGGGAGATAGGAAGAAGAGTAGAGTTTCACTAAAAGCATGAACTGTGAGTTTGTAGCCTGGAAAGGGTGAGCCACATGCGTGAACATTGCCAACAGGAAGTGGTGAGATGAGACGTGTAAAATGGGCAAACAGAGGAGAGTTGCAGTCAGAATGCTAGGTTTGACTGAAGCCCTTTATAGCTCCTTGGCTTTTAAAAAATGGAATTTGAACCTAAACATAGGCCATCTGGCTAAGGGGTACATGGAGGGGTTTTGGGTCAGAAGGGAGTTTAGGGATCATCTGGCTCAGTCTCCTCATTCCCTAGAGAGGGCAAGCTTGGTCTCAGGTATTGGAATCGGGGTGCTAGAACCCAACATGGTGGGAGTATCCACTCTGAGGAGCTGCATTTCAATGAAGCAGGGACACAAGGAACCAGCCGTAGCCATGGCGGTGAAAGCAAATGCACCGAGGGAGGTGGGAATGAGCAGGTCAGTCTGGGTCCTGGGAGCTGGGGGGTGTAATAAAGGACTATTTATAAAGCAGTGGGTGGAAACCAGTGAGGGGTGGTGAATCACAGGGGCTGGTAACAGTGGGAAGCTGTTACTACTCAGACCTGAGGGGGTAAGGGGAGGGAGTGGTTCCTGAACCCCAAGGGGCTTCCAGACAGTAAATAGAACCTTTAGTGAAGAGACATGGCCAGCCAGGCAGCCTGATCCTCTTTCCAGCCCTGCTCTCCTGCCCACAAACCCTACTAGGAGGGCTAGGGGGTGGAGGTGGTGTTGCAGCACATAGCTTAGCCTCCTGGGCATAGGGCAAGGTGGAGAAGGGCTAGGAGTGCACTAGGGGGGTCAAATAGAGATGGTCCAGAACAGACAGCGAGCTGATGAGCTGAGCTGGCAGGCAGTATGTGAAGTTGGCAAGGCACGGTAAGAGAGAATTGAGCCTTTCAGGCTGAAAACAACTGGGGTCATAGGGTCAGAATGTCAGAGAAGGGGTGTCCCTAAATATCAAGGAGACTGACCTCATGTACAGGAGACCATTGGCACCAGCATTTCAGGAGTGACAGGGGCTCAGTGGGTTACTCCTGGAACACAGGCTTCAGGCTATTGTCTAGAGAAGGGAAGATAAAGTCAGACATATCCTTGTCTCTC